ACGTGCGGGCACGGAGCATCCCAGCGCAGGCACCCCGGGACGGAGCGTCCCCCGGGACGGAGCAGGGCCGAGCCCCAACCCCGCCCAGGTGGGAGCAGAGCCTGCACCCATCCCACGGGTGACTCAAAAGCGTGGGTGGCCCAGACCCTGCCAAAAACCAGACCTGCTTCGTGCTTTGCCCCTGATGGTACCAGCCCAGGTGAGGAGAGACCCCCGATCAGCCCGTGGCAGCCTGAGCTGGGGGTGCTGGTGCTGCGGGCATCCCCCAGCCCCGCACAGGCCCCCCAAACCCCGGGAAGGGGCTGCAGCAGGGGGCACCCAGGCCAGTGCCCTCCCCGTAGGACACGGGGCTGGCCTGGACCCCTAGCAGGTGCTGGGAAAGGGGCGCAAGGCCATGGGGGGCAGAGGCTTCCCCTGCCCTGCTCACCTCCAGGCAGGAGCCCCTCTGCATCACCGAAGGCTGTGGGAAGCAGGGAGGGGGACGAGCCCTGCACACACATCGGTGACAGGGACAGAGCCACCAGGGCCCCTTCCTTCACCCCGGCCTGTGGCAAAGGAGGCAGAACAGAGGGGGAGTTTGCGAAACTCCAGCTCCATGCGCAGGACAGGGAACGCTCCTCTTCGCAGCATCGCTCCAGCTCAGATGCGAGTTTGGCTTAAGGTTGAATTAAATGGGCGCGGGAGCTCTGCCTGCTCCCCAAGGGCAGGGGCAGCCCTGCAGGCAGGTGTACGGGGCCTCGGATCTCAGACAGCCCCATCCCACGCCCCATGCTGGAGGAATCGCTCTTTACATCCCAAGCTCCCGAGACAGCTCTTGGGAGAGCAGCTTGACACAAGCATCACTATTAAAGTATCTGCAAGTTCATGGAAAATCCTGGTCACTTCAAGCCTATTTTCTAAACCTGTGATAATTTGAAAGAGGAGTCAAGGAACATGCCCAACACTCACTGGCTCAAAGCGATTAGTGGGGCTGCGAGAGCTGGGGGCCCCGGGGGAGGCTGGACTTGAGCCTGTCTCCAACACGCATTTGGCTCCTTGATCACCATCTCCTTTCTCATTTCCTTCCTGAACCCCCCAGAGTGCAGGGAGTTGGGGACCGGGGCTCCCAATAGCCACAGCCTGGGGGGCACATGGGGGCTCCCAAGGGCCTGCGTGCTCAGCATGGCTGCAAAAACATCTGACACGGCTTCCCCCCTGGGGAGAGAGATCGCCAGCTCTCGCCAAACAGACTTTTTGCTGGCCAGAAGCTGGTGACACCCACCCAAAGAGGGGGCTCAAGGGGGTAAAAAGCCCCTCTCCCGCGTCTGCTGCGCCAGGGGTGATGGTACAGAGGAAGGGGTTTCATAGCATCATTAAGGTTGGAAAAGACCTCTAAGATCATCGAGTCCAACCGTCAACCCAACACCTAAACCATGTCCCTAAGCGCCTCATCTACCCGTCTTTTAAATACCTCCAGGGATGGGGACTCAACCACTTCCCTGGGCAGCCTGTTCCGATGTTTAACCACTCTTTCAGTAAAGACATTTTTCTTTGGGGAAGATTAAGGCAATCACATGCATAAATATCGAAGGGCCCCCCGATTTCTATCCAGCAAGCTGCCCTGCTCACCCAGAGGGCCGGGGTGCTGCGGCCAGCCCCGCGCTTTAGGTGATGGCTGGCAAAGGAGAAAGCTTTTAGCACAAGGGCTGGCAGGTTCCAGCCTGGGCTTTGGCCACCTTCCAGCTGCTGCCCTTGATCAAGGGAAAAACATGCCCTTTCACCGTCTGTCAACCAAATGTTTTGCAAGAGACAGAAGCGCCACCAGCCCAGAGAGCCGTGCCGGGAGGGGAGCTGTGCCAGCAGCGGATGAAGTCCCCTTAAGCCCGTCTCCGAAGGAAGCCACAGCCGGGGCGCTTGGTGGAGGTGGCGGGCAGCCAGCTACCGCTGTCCCCCACTGTGGCTTGAGTAACTGCTGTGAGGCACTGGGGTGGCAGGGGCAGGCTCCTCGGACAGGTTTGGACCCTGCACCGCATTTTCATACACCTAATAACCGCCAGGAAAAACAAGGACTCAAAGATTCAAGCGCAGAGAGCGACACCAAGTTGCTCCAGAGGCTGGCTGCTCTGAACCACGTGCTCCTGGGGCCGGTTCTGGCTTGCAGGGAGCTCAGTGCCTTTCACTCTCGGGGGAAGTCGGGAGCTCTGCAAGTCTGGTGCCAGGTCATCACCCACCTTCACACTGGTCTTCACACACCCGTCACCTCTGCAGGCAGCGGTTCGCAGCCCTCAGTTGCAAGGACTCTACCTGGTGAGGCATGTCCTCGGCAGGCTGGACTTTCAACTCAGGCTGCTCGTTGCAGGGGATGAAGCCCAAACATCAGACTGGTCCCGGTTCAGACAGCCTGGATGCAAGGCTCTGCCTGCACACGGGTTATCCAAACAGCGTACGTTATCTCCAAAACAGCAAACACGCACATCGCAGGATGTTGGTTTTTTACAAAACCGTAACTAAAGGAACTGTGGAGCAAGCACTCCCTACACTCCGTCTCACCCCGGACACCTCCCAGCTGTCCACGTGCAGCCATCTCACTTCAAGTCCACGTCTACGAACGTTTAGGGAGAACCCACGCTAACCATAACACCTCCTCCAGGCTTGCTCCCTTCACAGTGACAGGTCCTGTTCCCACCACACAGCCCTTACTGCAGCTGCCGTCGTAACTGCAGAGAATTAAGACTGATTTACTGCTCTACACTAGCTACCTGACTAGACTTCAGGGGAAAAACACCACCAAAATCCTTCCCAGCTGCATGATCAGAGATCCACAAGCCCCACAAAGTCTGTTCCTGTCTGACTGGGGACTGGGATTTTAACCTTATGCTCAGATGCCACTATCGGGTCATTCTGGCCAGCGGCTGGCCTTCAGCTCAGGCCTCCTATGATGCAACACCGTGAACGTTCGGCAGCTCTTGATAAATTCAGGCAAAAGTCTGCTGGAGGGAATGAACAGATCACCCCAACAGGTAACAGAAAACATCAGGGAACATCGGCGGTAAACACGACGAGGGTTGAGCGGAGAAAGAAGTTCACCACCGATCTGCACCAGTCCAGCACAGCACCTTTCGAGAGCTGTTGGAGCGCTCCCAGGGCACCGTCCGACTCGCACGGAGCCCAGACGAGGCACTTCTGCACCCAGGGCACAGTACCCGCTGCCTGTCCTCAGCCTGATCACGGGGAAAGGTTGCAGATCACTGCCTGCAGCGCAAAATGCATTTTCATCTAGTGGAACGGCTTGGTGACAGGTCTACAAGGAAACTAAAACAAGTTACAAGTTATTTAAAACAACAAAGTAAGCACTTTATTTCCATTAAGCATGTTGTTTTAGTATCACAATGGAATGATGAGAAAACGTTTAAAAAAACCCAAAAAAGTCTCTAATCCCCACAAACAGCAGGGAGGTTTTCAAGGCCATTTAGAAACAAAGGGAGTGACAGAAGTGCCAGAACAGTCCCAACATCACGAGTCGTCTCCTCCGCGAGCTGGGCAGGGGCAGGAAGGTGGAATGACACGAAGGTACGAATGTCTGAAGTAGTCTTTGGCGCTTCTGCCTCATGTTTGATACGTACATGATCTCTCAAGACAACTCCACAGAAATCTCCGGACGCAACAAAGTGCTACGTTAGTAGAACAAAACCCCAGCGAGAGGACTTTCCGTACAGTTGAGATGCCCTGCGGTTGGGCGTTAAGACACGTCCTGCAGACAGTGCTGACTCCAGCTGGGGGCCTTTGGGTTGGGGGGCGGGGGGGGGAAGGAAGCATGGTGCATGAATCCAAGAAGATGTGCCCATGTGCAAGACACCGCGTCCTGCAGTACTGACAAAACCAGGGAGGAGAGAAGGCGGTGGCAAAACGAAATACGGATCCGTTCCCTACAGTGATCAAAACACGAGTCCAGTGCAGTAACTATAGTTTCACAGTTCCAGGGGGCAAACTGTCATTGCAGAGTCTGTAGTAACGCAGGTCATTCACCAGCCTGTGCACATTCTGGGTAAACGATGGCAGATCCTGGAAAAGATCAAACAACACGTTGTACTGCAAACAGAGTAATAGCTGCAAGCACTGTCTGACAGCAGAGAGCAGAAAGGAACCGAGAGGCCCAGACACCCACGTGTATTTTTCATACATGAGAACAACAGACCCCTTCCTCCGGAGTCTGAGCCCAGGAAAACTGAGTTCCTGCAGGCCATGGACAGGGAGCAGAGACGCAGCTCCAGAGCTGCTCCACGCAGAGAGCTGACTACAGAGATCTGGGCTCCAATCACGGCACCGGCTTCTCGGTGTGGAGTCAGGCACTACACGGGCGGTCACAACACGGCCATCTGCAGCGGCAACTGCTCACTGCATTCCTGCCGCGGTGCCACATTCCCCATAACAAGAAAAAAGGCCTAATTTTCCTGAAGAGCAATTGCCTTCTAGAGTCCAGTGATTCTCTCAAGGCTCCTTTCCTACCCTCAACCCTTGGTCTCAAATCCCCATCATCTCCCAGGGGAGAGGAAGCACTCAACGGACAAGCAAGCTTTAGCAGATGGAAGCCACAACCTGCTGCACTGCCGTGATGTTCCACAGGGAGGTTACAGGCCCCCCCATTTGCTTCACACGCATACGAGGGATTTGAAAGAATTGAGAGCCATTGCAGCTACTCTGCTGTTGTCCTCACAGTAACCCTCAACCATCTGGCCAGCAGCTGGAGCGCGATTTTGGCAAGGATCCGAGTGTCCCACTCTAGAAAATGTCAGTCTACCCCTATGAAAACTTCCTCCAGGAAACGTATTCCCTAACTCCCACAGCATTCGGCAGTCCAAGAGATAAGATGGCAGTTCTGCTACCTACAGTGAAAAATCCTTGGCTAGGCATTGCTGAGCACGGAAGCGTTTGGAACAAAAGGTACTGCCTCAAAACTCTGCCCTGGGAAGCTCACGGCTGTCTGCCAGCACGTTCTAGGAGAAAAACTCTGCGCATCCTGGGAATACTGGCACTCTGCTGCAGCGTTTCACCTTCTTACCCTGTCCATTTTGAAATTCCTTCCCAGCACGTTTTTCTGGTTCGAGTCCACACCATCACAACTGGCCAGGAACTCGGGGAGAAAGGCTGAGTAGAAGCCATCAAAGTCCACTGAGGCCATATTGTAGGTGGCAATGCCGATCTCCTCCTGCAACAGGTCGTGCGACTTGTGGACAAGCACCTGAAGTAGCACATTCACAAACTGGAACAGCATGGTTGTCCGGAAGATCTTCTGCACAGTGAGAGAAGCACACAGTTAGGCATCTTCACACCAGCAATCCTCCCGCAAAAGGGACCGCGGCAGCCAGCACACTGCTTTAGAAGTACAAACTCATCGAGGTCAGACCAGGCAAGCGAGCGTGGCTGCACAGGGCCGCTGTCAGCAGGGTCTGCAAACTCCTGTGAGCACAGAGA